CTGTCTAAGACCCTATTAACGAGTGGTTGACTGCAAGAAACAGGGTCATGTTGATGGTTTTGAGATTGACTTTGTTGATGAATAATGTGATGTAATTGCTGTTGTTGATGATGTTGTTGATGATGTTGTTGGTGCTGTTGCTCTTGTTGCTGCTGGCGACAAGACTCAGTGGCCTGTGCAATTTGATAAGTAGAACCCGTAAAGCCCGACTCAGAAATAGATACAGGAAAAAGAAGGCCGTTCTCGGAAAATCCTTGCTGTTGATACAATGACTGCTGATGATGATATAATAGCTGTTGTTCCTGCTGGTGTTGCTGCTGTAACTGAGCTTCTACAGTCGGCTGACTGATAAAGGTGTTCGGATGGTTTTGGTGATTATGCTGAATATACGGACCCGGTGTGCCGTTACCACCCTGCACTGAGAAGCGATCACTTCCGGAACCCAGGGATAAACGATCAAAGACGGCTAAAGCGGAACCAGGTCGCATTGTTGTCTGTTGGTGATGATAAGGCTGATTGCCAGCATAAAAGGAGGCAGGATGTAGTATGCCACCGCCAGCGGTCACGAGTACCGGGCCATTTGGGCTAGCAACCAGAGTAACGGAAGCGGAAGCAGCTCCCGCGAGAGGTGAAGAGGCTGGATATACCGGCAGACGGGAAGAATTCACAGCAACACCTGTTGTTGAGTGATGGAGAAGATTACCAGATAGAGCGAGTGGATGATGGTCAATCGGGTATCCACCGATGTAACCTGCTGCTGTTACAACTTGTGAAGCTGGATCGTGAAGAAGCTGTTGGCTTCCATGGGCTGCAATTGTCGCAGCTGCAGAGGCCGAAGAGGGATGGTGTCCAACGGGTGATTGCACTAACATGACTGGCGTCATCAAGCCAGTTGGTGTGACAGAACCACGCATCAAATGGCCATGTGATGTGGTAGCAGCAATGCCAGTGGAGCTAGGCGAGTGATAGCGAGGCATACCGACTGTTGAGGATGCTGGACTGCAGCGAGATGCTGCACGACTACTACCACTAGCCATCATAAACATAGGCATGGCATCTGCAGAAGCAGGTTGACCTAGCTGAAAAAAGAGAACATTCAATGATTTAAAAATTTCGCCCCACCAGATTATCAAAGGCTATGAAAGTGCTGCTAAAACTTCAAATACGTAAACTTGCCTGAGCTTTTATTATATAGTGCTGATTCAAGTTATGGCTAGGAAAAAAATAAACATGAGAGCATATAAATCAGATTTAAATGCATTGTTGAAAACAAAAACGCATGAGGAAAGTCGTGAGTAAAAATGAGTGTAGAGAAATCAAAAGATCACGCCAACTCAGGATAGTATATATTATGAATTTGCAAACCTTATTACAGGAGCGATATTCAGCTCTCTTGGTGTGAAAAGACACCACATGGAGACAGAAAACCAGACTCAGATGCATTAACTATAAATAAGAGCTGATAAGCTCAAACAATCCTATCCTTGTCTCATAGATTAGAGGATATAGAAATCATAAAACTTAGGCAGAAGCTATTCACTCCGAGATCCTATTCTTTGGTTTGACTCATAATGCTCAATTTCAGTATTTTTATTAGCGCAATAAAGATATCTTAAATAAGACAATTCTTCCGAAATGGAGAGCTACAAAATGCATTATACATCCTTACTGTGCCAATTTGTAGTTGCGTGTTTCACATTATTAGGCTAATTCAAATTTATATTTTGTTGGTGCTTAGCCCATTATTCTTAATCCGCAAGTCCAGCTCGTAGTAATATAAAAATGGAACGTCTTATGTGAACACACTGAGCAAAGCAGTCTCATACTAGAAATGGGTTGACCTCGTTGTCGCAACTTGGTCTTATTGTCAAAGAGA